CACCACTGCCCATCCTGCCCTTGGAAACCACTAATCTACTGTCTGTTTCTCTGAGTTTGTTTCTTTTAGATTCCACATATAAGTGAGATCATGCAGTATTTGTTTTTCCCTGTCTGACTAATTTCACTTAGCATAATGCCCTCCAGCTTCATCCTTGTTGTGGCAAATGGTAGGATTTCCTTATTTATTACGACTGAATAATATTCCATTATATCTATCTATCTATCTATCTATCTATCTATCTATCTATCTATCATCTATCTATCTATCACCTATCTATCTATCTATCATCTATCTATCTATCTATCTATCTATCATCTATCTATCTATCTATCTATCTATCTATCTATCTATCTATCTATCTATCTAACTATCTATACATCTATCTATGACACTTTCTTTATCCATTCCTCCACTGATGGACACTTAGGTTGTCTCCACGTCTTGACTCATGTGAGTAATGCTGTAATGCACATGAGAGTGCAGATATCTCTTTGAGATAGTGATTTCCTTTACTTCAGATATATAGCCAGAAGTGGGATTGCTGGATCACATGGTAGTTCTATTTGTAATATTTTGAGGAACCTCCATAGCATTTTCCATAGTGGTCATACCAATTTGCAGTCTCACCAAAAATGTACAAGCGCCCTTTTCTCCTCATCCTCGCTGACACTTGTTATCTCTTCCCTTTCTGATAATAGCCATTCAGATAGGGCTCAGATGACATCTCTCGGTGGTTTTGATTTGCATTGCTCTGATGACTTGTGACATTCGGCACCTTTTTGTTGCTATTGAGTTGCATAAGTTCCTGATATATTCTGGATACTAACCTCTGATCAGATAATGATTGCAAATATTTTCTCCCATTTCATAGGCTGCCTTTTCATTTTGCTGGTAATTTCTTTTGCTGTGCAGAATTTTTTCAGTGTTTAATTTTACTTGTTTATTTGTTCCTTTTACTTTTGTTGATTGTACTTTTGGTGTAATATCTATAAAATCATTGCAAGATGGATGTCAAGGGGATTTTCCCAAAGTTTTCTTCTAGGAGTTTTATGATTTCAAGTCTTATCACTTAAATATTTAACCCATTTTGAGTTAATTTTTGTGAATGGTGAAAGATAGGGGTCCTGTTTTATTCTTTTGCATGTGGCTGTCCAGTTTTCCCAACACCATTCACTGAAGAGATGATCCTTTCCCCGTTCTATGTTCTTGGCATCCTTGTCAAGGATTAATTGACTGCATATGCTTGGTTGATGTCTGGCCTCTCTATCATGTTACAGTGGTCCATATGTCTGTTTTTATGCAGTATCATACTTTTTGATTACTATAGCTTTATAATATAGTTTGAAATCAGGAAGTGTGATACTTCCAGCTGTGTTCTTCTTTCTCATGATTGCCTTGGGCATTTGGGGTTGTTTGTGGTTCCATACAAACTTTAGGATTGCTTTTTCCATTTTTGTGAAAAATGTCAATGGAATTTATAAGGATTGCCTTCACTCTGTAGATCACTTTTTGTAGTATGGATATTTTAACAATATTAATTCTTCCTATCTTTGAAGATTGAATATCTAGATCTCCATTTATTTGTGTCTTCCTCAATTTCTTTCATCCTGTCTTATTGTGTTCAGTGTCCAGGTCTTTCACGTCATTTCTTAAATTTATCCCTAAGTATTTTATTGTTTTCTATGCTATTGTAGACAGGATTGTTCTTAATTTCCCTTTTTGAAAGTTTGTTGTAAGTGTATAGAAACACAACTGATATTTTCATACTGAATTTGTAACTTTTCTAATTTGTTTATTAGTTCTAAGAGATTCTTGGTAGAGTCTTCGTGGTTTTATATAAGATTTATATAAGATATATATACATATAAGATTATGTCATCTGCATTCAGAGACTATTTTCCCTCTTCCTTTTCAATGTGGATTACTTTTATTTTTTTTTCTTGCCTAGTTGCTTTGGCTAGGGCTTTCAGTACTACATTGAAGAGTGGGGGTAGTGGGCACCCTTGACTTGTCCCTGATCTTGGAGGAGAAGCATTCACATTTCACCATTGAGCATGATGTTTTCTGTGGGCTTGTCATATATGGGCTTTATTATGTTGAGGTACGTTCCTTCTCTATGTAATACATGGAAAGATTTTTATCATGAAAGGATGTTGAATTTTGTCAAATGCTTTTGCTGCACCCATTGAGATGATCATATGATTTTTATCCTTCATTCTGTTAATGTGATGTATCACAATTGTTGATTTGTGTAGGACAAACTGTCCTTGCATCCCAGGAATCAATCCCACTTGATCATGGTGTATGATCCCTTTAATGTGCTTTTGAATTCTGTTTGCCATTATTATAGAAGGATAATGTAGAGTGAGCCTTATACTCAGATATAAAAAGAGAAGGCAGAAATTCAAGAAGTCCTGCAGTTTCTCTGAGAATATTAGGAATATCTCACCATAATTAATTCCTGTCTCTTTATGTCTGTTTCTTCCTTATTGTGTTGTGGAATCTTGATTTGCTGAGACTATCTTGTTCAATGGTATATACCATATACTAGTAAAATTTGAGATAAGATTTTGATTCAAGAGTTGGAGAAAATTTTCTTCTGTCATGTAATTTTTCTTATACTAATAAATCACAGTAAAACTCTTGGGAAATAAGGGACTGGAGACAGAGGATTGATCCTGGGGCTATCTGACTCTTAAAGTCCACAAAGCCAAGCTATTTAGATATTAGGTAGACGATATACAGATAGATAGATAGATAGATAGGTAGATAGATCTATTGATAGATAGACATAGGGTTCTCTGGGTATGTTTGTGTATGTGTTTGTGTAAAATATTCTGTATTTCATGTCTCAGGTCTCAGATGTTGAAACTTGGGGGAAATTTGATCGTTAGATGCCATTTTTCATCTGCGGCAGCACCTCAGGTAGCTGATCTTGAGGAACTTTGAGTGTTGAAGTTCACCTCTGCAAACTATAAAGTGACTCCTACTTGACACGTTGGGGATACAGAGCTTCCACGATTTGGGCACCTGCACTGTCATGATTAGCACCCTGTATGAGGGGTGTCATCAGTGGGAGAGTTTCAACATGCAACCAAGACTGGATTATCTGACACTAGAATACCATTTGAGCAACTAATTCTCAAATTTTGGATGACAGAAATCAGACATTTCTCTGAGGATTTAGGTTTTAGATGTGATGTGAAGCTATGGTGAGTAGCTAGTGACCTGCTGAGGAAAGCCCCTTCTCTATGAACCCTGAATAGCTCCATGTGAGCCATTTGTTCGTAAACACCTAGCCAGAAGGTGCTGAAGTGATGGCTCTGTAGCTGCAAGGTCATAGCCGAATGGCAATCTTGGCCAAAAGCTCTTCTTTACTGACAGGAACAATGACAGTTCTGAGAACCTAACCTGTTTAACCGAGGAGATGTGATGCAGGGCTGATTCAGGAATCCTTTACTTTCCGGGGCATAGCTGGTGACTGTTTCAGAGGTGCTGAGTGTATCCTCTTCCTCATCCTCCTCTTCTTTGTCATTTTCCAATTATAAAACCACATTCTTCAAAAGCTTCCTTATGATGAGGCCAAGACAATGAGGGTTGAGTAAAACCACTTTTAATGTCAAACACAGCATTTAGTCAGCCCCACTGGTTGCAGGAACAGTTAACAAAGATACGAAGGGACAAATCAATAAATGCATTGACCTCATGTCTTGAGTGACCTATATGTACCAAATGGGACAGAGAAGAGGTATACATTGGGCAATGAGATGATAATGTGGCAAGTTGAGGGGACTGGGAATTAAGAGAAGATAGAAAATAAACATGCAATTAAATTTTTAAAATTGCTGTCATTTAAAGACCTAAAACGTGTGTAGAAAGAGAATTTGAGAAAGCAAACATATAAGATCAGCCTAAATTCATATTTTCCCCTAGATTTCTGATTTTAATGCTCTGATCTACCGAATTACAATAGGTGATTCTATGGTCCTAGTGGATTCCATGTGACGCATATTGGTACAGATAAATAAAGGCCACAAGAAGCAACTTTGTGTCCTGTATTTGAAGGACTTAAAGCATGAAAATAGAACGTGGAAGTCACCATTTTACTGCGTGATTCTAAGGGCCATTGTGAGAAGTCAATTAAGATGATCTGCAGCCTGATCTCAGCCCATTTTAGAAGGAGAGGGAGACTAGATTAGCAAGTCATGGATCCAGGGAAATGCATTATAAGAAGAACTTGGGTTAAAGAGAAAGGTGTGACCAGATAGCCAGGCTCTATACAAGCCAGCAGGTACAGAAAAACAGCAGCCAGCTCAAGAGGAGCAGGGCTGGCGGTTGTATGACTCAGGGAAGGTGAAGGATAGGAAATGGTGATCTTCCCTAATCAAGAGAGAGACCCTTTGACCACCAGTTAGGGAATCCCCCAAATTCTCCGCCTACCAGAAGTCACTGAAACTGAGAGGTGAGGTAGGACCTCTGTGACTCATGAGCTTTTAACCCAGGGAGGCGATCCGGGAGAAGTATATTTCCTGTTTCCAGTGTCCCTGTTGAGCCAGTTATGGATGCATTTGCATTTTGGTTGGGAAATTATTGGACAGGCCAATCTTAGGCAGCTCCACTTCCCCCTGGGTGGAGCGTCCAGCCCTATAAAGAGGTCCTCTGCTGCACCACTGCCATCCACCTGGGAGTCAAATCCTGATCTACTTTGGAGAACCTACCTGGTAAGTCTGATGTCTTGAGTTCCTCTGTTTTTTGGGGTTATCAAATGTTGAAGTTAGTCTGGAGACAGCAAGTTTGATGGCTCCAAAGGCATGGTCGTGGGTTTGATGCTACTTAGGTGCTAAAAAGGGAGTTCAGAGATGGCAGCACCATCTCAGAGATTGGAGAGGGAGTGTCTCTTCATGCTATATACTCCTTGTAGTAGGAGAGAAATCTCTCTCTATACGAGTCCCTTCTTGTGAACACTGTCTATAATTTCTTTCAGATACTGAGACACCAGCAAGATGTCTTATCAACAGCAGCAGTGTAAGCAGCCCTGCCAGCCACCTCCTGTGTTTCCACCTAAGTGCCCGGAGCCATGCCCACCCCCAAAGTGCCCTGAGCCGTGCCCACCTCAGCAGTGCCAGCAGAAATGCCCTCCTGTGCAACCCCCTCCACCATGCCAGCAGAAGTGCCCACCCAAGAGCAAGTGACAGCTTCAGCATCCATCAGGATCAGGAAAAGACAAGGACAATTGGCTCACCTCGTTCCACAGCTCCACTTTCACCTTCTCTTCAAAGCCTGCCTGGATACAGAAGGGGCTTCTCCCTCCTTCAGCCTGTAAAACGCCTGTGTGATTCCTGACAGCGAAAGGGTTCCGTCCTGAGGCTGTTACACTGCTGCTCTCCGGGAGGTAGCTGAGAAAGGGTGGTCCTCAGCTGTGCGGGCATCCCAGAGCTTCAGAAGAAAGAACAGCAGCTGTCTTCCTGGTGCCAGCTGAGGATTCTCTTGATGTCTTCTGTGTCTGTCTGTCACCTGGGCAGGGGTTTGCATCACCTGGGCAGTTGTTACTTTTCTTCCATTTCCTGAATAAAGTGCAACATTTTCTGTGACGGGATCAATATTTTCTTTCTTTGACAATCTGCTTGTTGGCAAGATCATATCATCCTTTTGGGTTTCTTGCTATCTTTCTTTGTTCCAAGGCTCACGTCTCACAATCAGTGTTATCCGGGTTTGGGGCCATATCAAATATTATTTCTACGTCGTATCCAACCCATTTTGTTTTCCTCATTTATTGTTTGATTGATTTAGTCACAAACTGTCTAACTCCTCAAGATTTCAATCTCTCTACTACAAAGTGGGTAAAGTCCTTTTTACAATCCCAGCGTGTCTTCGGCATGAAATTGAACGTTAAATTAGTTGCCCCAACGCCAGACACATATTAGCACTCGGTAAGGCATCAGAGCATCCTTGTCTCCGTCATCATCAACAACCTCATCGTCACCCTCACCATCACCACGACCACGTTTGCTGCAGCAGGAAAGGGGCTCAGACATAACCAGGGTAGGAAAGAAGAAGATTCTGAAACTTTATTACTCTCTCATATTCTGTTGTTCTCTTTTTTTCTGAAGTACTCTATTTTTTATGTGATGTTGCAGATGAAGAGCTTTTCGGGGAGTAGTGGAGTATTCTTCATAAAATCATGGGCGTTCTGAAACCATGGGGAGCACAGAAGGAAGACAAGTAATACGGGTCTTTACAAGGGAAAGTGCTGCCTCCTCTCCATGTGAACCACCTGCTCTTCTCACTCCCACCACCCGCCAAATGTCAGGGTCCCATCTTGTATGTTCACCTCTGTAATTCCTTACCTCAAGGTTCTGACCCCATGTTTGAAGAATATTGGGGTGTACATCTTTGTATAGATTGCGAAGCTACTGTTGATATGTAGCTTGTTTTCTAAGTGCTGAGCCTACCAGTCAGCTAAGCTGTGGAGACAGGGATACGTTCTTTATATGTATCCTTTCTGTCTTCCTGAGTTTCCACACACAGAAGAGTTACTTGAGATCACACACACACACACACACTCCCTGATAAATGTAGCATTATTCAAAAAGCGACAGAGTCTTCCTCTCAAATCCTAGTATCGTTAGTCATTTTAAAATTAAGCAGATCTTCCCCTGTCGAAATTCTCCAATCAAATCATATATCCGACAAGGTGTTAATTTCTAAAAATATAAAGAACTCATACGACTCAACAGCGAAAAAGTGAACAACCGTATCGACAAATGGCCAGAGGATCTGAACAGACATTTCTCCAAAGAATATATACAGATGCCCAACAGGCACATGAAAACATGTTCAACATCACTAATTATTGGAGAAATGCAGATCAAAACTAGATTGAGAGCTTACCTCTCACTTGTCAGAATGGCTATAATTGACAAGACAAGAAATAAGAAGTGTTGGAGAGGATGTGGAGAAGAGGGTACCCTTATACACTGCTGGTTGTCTTTTCATTTTCTTGATGATTTCCTTTGGTGTGGATAACATTTTTAGTTTCACCTAGTCTCACCTGTTTATTTTTACCTTCGTGGGTTGTACTTTTAGTGCCATGTCTATAAAATCATTGCCAAGACTGATGTCAAGAAGCTTTTCTCAAATTTTCCTCTAGGTGTTTTATGATTTTAGGTCTTACATTGAAATCTTTAATCCATTTTGAGTTAATTGTCGTGAGTGGTGTAAGATAGGGATTCAGTTGTATTCTTTGGCATGTGGCTGTCCAGTTTTCTCAACACCATTTATTGAAGAGATGATCCTTTCCCCGTTCTATGTTCTTGGCATCCTTGTCAAGGATTAGTTGACTGTATATGCTTGGTTTATGTCTGCCCCCCCCCAGTGTGTTCCAGTGGTCTATGTGTCTGTTTTGATGCCGGTACCATAGATTTTTGCTACTATAGCTTTCTAATATAGTTTGAAAGCAGGATGTGTGATACCTCCAGCTTTGTTCTCCTCCCTCAAGATTGCTTTGGCTGTTTGAGAACTTTTGTGGTTCCAAACAAATTTTGGGGATCTGGTTTCTAGTTCTGTGGACAAAGCCAGTGGAATTTATCGGAATTGTATTGAATCATTCAATCACTTTGGGTAGTATGAACATTTTAACAATATTAATTCTTCCAATCTTTGAACACTGGATATCTTTCCATTTATTTGTGTCTTCCTCAGATTCCTTCCTCCTGTCTAATCGTGTTCAGTGTCCAGGTCGTTCACGTCCGTAGTTAAATTTATCCGTAGGTATTGGTTTGTTTTCCATGCTATTGTAAATGGCATTGTTCTTTAGTTCCCTTTTTGAAAGTTTGTTTTAAGTGTACAGAAATACCACTGGTGTTTGTATATTGAATTTGTAAGTTTTCTAATTTGTTCATTAGTTCTAAGAGGTTCTCGGTGGAGTCTACAGGGTTTTATAGAAGATTTACCTAAGATGTATAAAGGATTATGTCATCTGCAGTCAGAGGCCATTTTCCTTCTTCCTTTCCAATTTGGGGAACTTGGATTTCTTTTTCTTGCCTAATCGTTGTGTCTAGATCTTTCAGTACGATATTGAAGAGTAGGGAGAGTGGAAAACCCTGACTTGTTCCTGATCTTAGAGGAAAAGCTTTCAGATTTCAGGATTAAGCATGACGTTTTCTGTGGGCTTGTCATATACGGCCTTTTTTATGCTATGGTACATTCCTTCTCTACGGAATTCGTGGAGACTTCTTGTCAGGAAAGGATGTTGAATTTTGTCAAACGCTTTTTCTGCATCCATTGAGATGATCATATGATTTTTATTCTTCATTCTGGTAAAGTGAAGTGTCACAGTTGTTGATTTGTGCATGACGAACCATCCTGGCATCCCAGGAATCAATCCACCTTGAGCATGCTGTGTGATCCATTTTTCGTGTTGTTCCTTAATTAGTTTTGAAGTGGGGTCCTACCCTAACAAACCTCCACTGTGTGCCATAGACTTAGGAGTCTGCAGGTGGTTGGCAAGGAAACTGATATTGGAAATTGTAAATATGGTCCTACTTGCTACTCAATGGCAAGCCTTTGCTAAAATGGCTACTTAGAAGTCAGTCCAAATGTTGATTATGTGTTGTATTCAGCAGGGTGTTTCAACACACGTATGTTCAGGAAATCATCTTCTAGTTTGGAATCCAAAAATGGAAAGAAAAATGTAGAGCCCAGAAAGTCAAAGTCTTGTAGAATTAGAAGAGTTGGTGCTTGTGAGTCCCACGAGGGAGCAATGAGATGTGAAAAGGTGTCAAACTTGAAGCTCACTCTCAGTTGACTTTAACAACACAGAAAAGAGGCAGAAGTCTGTAGTCTTTCCACTTGTTGCGCCAGATAGTCTCTGGTAGCTCCGTTAGGTTCGGAGAAAGGCAGCAAAATCAATCAGGCCTGAGAATCACCTCAAGGAAAGGATCTGAGTCTGTCCGCCCAATTATAGAAATGACTGGAGGAATGAAACGTATCAGACGCCTCGTAAGTTTTTGATGGAATTGGTGACTAAATAAACTACGAACCGAGACCACAAAGACTTCATTTGTTCAAGAATGGAAACAACATTCCAACCCTCCTGTCCCCACTTTCCACACCACCCATTTCCGATTTGGTCAGTGCAGTTAACAAACGGGAGTTCCCTTTAGCGGGGTGGATACCAGGGCCACAGAGAATACTGGCTGAGGCATTCTCTCCCAGAGAATAGGATCAGAACCTAATAAAGGCAAGAAGGAGAAGGAATGCAGAGAACCTCCAAGTCTGTTTCCCTTTTGTTTGATGGTTCTTCTCTTTCATCTTTTCCTCCAGCTTGATCAAGGTATAATACACAAATAAAAGTGTGTATATTTAAAATGGACAATGTGATGTTTTGACATACTCGTACTTTTTGAAAGGATTACCACAATCTGGTTTATTAACACATCCATCATCTCACATATTTATGGTTTCTTTGTGTTTTGTGTGTGTGTGTGTGAGTGTGTGACGAGAACGTTTAAGGTCTACTCTCTTAGCCAATATCAAGTACCCAGCACAGTGTTACTAACTGTAGTCACCAGGCATTACATTACAAGCCCCAGAGCTTACTTGTCTCATCACTGAAGACCAACGTCTCGGCATTACCTCTTCCCTTCAGGCTCTGGAAACCATCATTCTACTTTCTGTTTCTATGAGTTCAGCATTTTCAGAGTCTTCAGGTAAGTGATACCATACAGAATTTGTCTTTCTCTGTCTGGCTCATTTCACTTGGCATTATGTCCTCAAGGTTCATCCATGTTGTTCAAAATGGAAAGATTCCCTTCCTTCTCAAGGCTGAATACTCTACCATTACATATACTTTATATATATATATATATATAGTATGCACACACACACACTTACCACATCTTCCTTCATTCACCTGTTCATGGACTCTTGATTGTTCCTATATCCTTGCTATTTTTATTAACGCTGCAAGGTATGTGGGAGTGCTGATGTCTCTTCAAGGTATGATTTTATTTCGTTGACTATATAGTCACAAGTGGGATTGCTGGATAATACAGTAGTTCTAGGTATAATTCTTTGAGGAACCTCCAGACTATATTCCATGGTGGCTGTACCAATTTACCCTCTCATCAACAGTGTTCAAGGGTTCTCTTTTCTCTACCTCCATGCCGACATTTGTTTTATCTTATCTTTTTGATAGTAGCCATCTGTTAGGTGTGAGGTGATATCTCATTGTGATCTTGATTTGCATTGCTCTAATGATTAGTGATGTTGAGAACCTTTTCACTGTTATTGAGTTGTATAAGCTCCTTATATATTCTGGATACTAACACCTTATCAGATATGTGGTTTGAAAATTTTTCCATTCCGTTCATCGTTTTTTCATTTGTTAATTTCCTTTTCTTTGCTGATGATTTTTTTTTTTATTTTTTGTGGTCATGTTGGTTTATAACGTTGTGTAATTTCAGTTGTATATTCTCATATTTCACTTTCTGTATAGGCTCCGTTGTGTTCACCACTGATAGTCTGGTTTTTCTCCGAAACCATACATTTACACCTCTATAGCCTTTTTGGCTCCCCCCCC